TAATGTCAAATACTTTATAGCAATTACAGGACATAAGCATTTAGAAGTCTTGTAAAGCACTACAGTAACTGTTTTATATAATTATTAAAGGTAATAGCCATAATATTTTTGTAAAAATATATTGACAACCATTCCGAAATAAATTGATCGTTCCAACACATTTTGGAGTGCTCATTCTGCTAATGCCGGTTGTTCAAAAGTCTTAGTAATTTAAGGCACGAGAAGTTGGTTGACTAATGCCGTTTTTCTTCATAATGACTACACTGTTAAACAGCATGAACATTATGGTATTTTATTTGATGTCACGAAAAGACATTTTGTATTTCAATCAGTATTCAAGAACACTTGCTATTTTCCTTATTATGATTACAAGGTACTCTCCAAGTTGTGTATATATATATATATATATATATATATATATATATATATATATATATATATATATATATATATATATATATATATATATATATATATATATATATATATAGTTTTTTGACTTGCCTAGATAGCCGAGCGGTCTAGCGCGCTGTTCCTGCACTGCTAGCAGACAGATTCCGAAGGTCGAGAGTTCAACCCCGGGCTGGGGCGGAAGTGGGTATCCATGTAAAAGTGAATTTCTTTGTGCTTTCTATATATATATATATATATATATATATATATATATATACAATAATTATATCTTACAAACATCATTAGAACCTACTTTTATTCGCGCGCTAGTAATATTCGCGAGTTTCGCGATCTACTTTATATCGCGAATATTAATAGCTGTGAACCGATCACTTTGCTTAGTATTTGTAGAGAATGTTTCCTAAGTCGCGAAAATTGATCGTCGGAGATTGATTTTAAACTGATGATTCGCGAATGAAATATGCTCCGAATAATAGAGAGTTTACAGTATTCTACGTATTAATGGGCTGCATTGCTCAATTCGACAATTCTAGCTAGATTTTTGATTTATAAAATAATATTAATAGTAACCCAAACTTTTAAGGTGTTTATGCGTTAAATTATCACGCGAGCAAACTGAATGATCATCATAAAACGAGACAGTTTTACATTATATTTACATTAAAACTTGATCCATGATTTAATAAAAAAAAATTATTCAGTTATAAGATTAACCATCCTGTCCAGGTGTATATTTATCAAGGAACAAACAGCAAGAAAGCATTCAGTGCTGTCATATGCTGAGCAAATCACTTTATGAGGTTATAAAGCTGTTAAAGCGTCTGCTCTAGTGTCGCGAAGAAAATTGATCCTTACGGCCCGAGTGCCGAGTATAGGACAAAATTTGCTGCTCTCCACGGGCAAATGGTTGCGTCTCCATACGAGTGAAAAATTCTCGAGAGGGACGTTCAACAACAATACAAACAAACAAAACAAACCTTAATTGAAGTTTTTCTCCGACAAAGACATTGGAAATATAAATATCGAAAAAACGTTTTATGGAAATTGTAAATTAGTAGTGTTAAAACATGGACTGAAATTATTTGGATTACGTTAATATGTGTCACTATTCCTTAATCAATGAATTATTTCCTAGTTTCTGACGCTGTTTAAACCATATTTTGATGTCACTTTGAAGTGTCCTTCCAGAAATCATTTTGCAAGACTTGCAATTTAACTAAAATCAAATGAACATTCATTCATGTTCAAACATCAATAACAAATTTTATCCAGGTCATTGAACAGACCCGTGGTTTCCAACGGCAACGTGTAGACTCAGGGTCCAAAGCATTGCGAGGATGCTGAAGAGGAAAGCAATAAAACATTTCTCATATTCAAGGTCAATATTCATATTAAAGACTCTCTCCGAGAGAAAAAGTGACTCCACGCACAGACCGATTGAATAAACCAGGGTTTTCCATACTTCCGTTGCTTCTCTCGAACGAAGATTCCTGATTTTCTTCAGACCGTGTGTTGACGCCATTTTCCTTCTTTGTCCCTTTGTCAGTTGGTAGGTTTGCTTTAGAATGGCTTTTTGCCACACCGTAGTTCTTCGAGGCTTGCTTCGGTTTGTATTTAAAGAAATAAAGTTCGAACCCCAGACACACGAGGGCTAGTGCAGCCCCTCCCGCGATGAGGATAAAAACCCCGCCAATATTGTTCAGGCTGATGCCCTCGCTCTCATTTTCCAGTTTTGGACATTTCACTTTATTTTTATCCCACCATTTTTTCTTCAGTTTTTCAAGCATTCGTTGATTAAGGAGCTGTAGTATTCTGAAAGAAAAAGAACAAAGATAAATTTTAATCCTCAAGGCTATAATTTATCTTTTGAAATGTCAATCTTCAAATTAACAGTAAATAGGCATCGAAAAAAAATCGGAATTGATCAAAGAAGTGACTCTATAAATGCCATGTTACATGCACCTTTACGATAGGTTCGATCAGCGTTCTTGATATTCGTAATCCCAATTCATTCGGAAAACTGTGAAATGTTTACACTTGTAACTGTCTTTCTGCGAATTTTTTTTTCCAGTAAAACTTTTCATATTGACAGAAGACTTCAAGAACTCTTGTTAGATGTACATATACTGTAATGCTACTCACGCAGTGGAGAGATCGTTCCGTAATGGCGACCCGTTCTGGACGGCCAGGGCGAACGGTTTCCTGCTGAACTCCTCCCCCACCTGCCAGAGGTCACAGTTCTCCATTGACCTCATCGTCTGGTACTGGTTCTCCGCCGCGTCCCCTGGGGCCAGAGCAAACAGTGAAAGTTAATCAAGGATTAAGACATTTGTAGATGGGAAGGGGGGATTCTCATGGTGCACATTGATTTTTTTTTTATCAAAGTTAGATAGTTAAAAAAGTTATGATCAACAAGTATTTTAAAATTGAACTATTCTGTAACGCTTTCGAAGGTGTATATTTAACTAATAGCACTTTGAATTCAATACAATAATGTCATGATGTTTCAAATCACTATTTTTTTTTATTTACGGACCGAACCAAGTATTACAATTTGTAAGGAACTTCCTGAATTACGAATTCGTGTACTAGAACATTATACCTATGTAGGCGAATGTCCCATTCTTTACACTGGAAAGTGCTTCGTGCAGAGAGTGTGGAAACCCCGAAAGTTTCATGGTCTCCCAGAGCTTGGTATACTTGTTACTGACTGGATAGTCCCACACCGCCAGCTTAGCCCTCTCTACAGGGTCCAACGTATCGTCCAAACTCATGTTCTTCCAAATACTGAGAAATCGTAACGTTACCATTTGTAAATGAAATATACACATGTATATGTAGTTTTCTAAGTCGAACAATGTAGGATTATTCTATACTTTGCATTAGATTAAAAAAACACAACAAAAAATTTAAGACAAATTGACAAGATATCAAAGTTTTTTTTAGGAATTTGGTAAGACCAGCTTCAAAGATTTTCACCAACAAAATATTCTTAAAATATTCTCTGACATAATTTATGCATGTACAGCTGTAGCATCCGTCAAGGTTGGAGATTGACTTTTCTTGCACTGCAAATTAGGCCTCTCTTAAGAAGGTTTGTTCCCGTTTTGCACACATTTGAATTACAGGTAATTAAAGAATGTGTGAAAAATGGGGAGTATTTACTAGCATATTAAATAATAGACTGATGCATTGGGATAAAGAATATAACATAACTACAGACGCGCAAATTGGATTCAAGTCAGGTGCAAAACCATTGATGCGATATTTGTTCTACAGACATTAGTTAACAAATTCTTAAGGAACAAAAGAAAACTTTATTGTTGTTTTGTAGATTATCAAAAAGCCTTCGATTATATCAATAGAATTAACTTGTGGCTTAAAATTAGTACTCAGGGTATTCAAAGGAAATTATTTTGTATTATCAAATCTTTATATGATAATATTAAGGCATGTGTAAAATATAATGGTTTACTTACAGAGTATTTCAAAATTACGTCTGGTGTTCTACAAGGTGAAATTTTATCACCATTATTATTTTCTATGTATTTGAATGACTTTGAACGTCACTTTATTACAAATAATTGTCCATCAATCGAACTGCAGATGATAAATATATTTTTACTGATGTATGCAGATGATACTGTTTTGATATCTGACTTATCTGAGGGTTTACAAAGAATATTGGATGCATTATATACATACACAACGGAGTGGAATCTAACTGTTAATGTTGAAAAAACAAAAATATTAATTTTTCGCAATAGTCGTAAAATACTGGAAAATGAACGTTGGACATACAACGGTTGCAATGTTGAAGTTGTTAATCAGTTTAATTATCTAGGTATGTTATTTAATTATAATGGAAAATTTGCTGAAACACAGAAACATTTTTCATGTCAAGGTAAAAAAGCTATGTACGGTGTAAATAGTAAAATCAGGGATCTGCATTTTAACGTACAAACACAATTAGCTGTAATCGATACTTATGTTAACAGTGTTATGAGTTATGGAGCTGAAGTATGGGGATTTCACAAGGGTCAAGACATAGAAAATGTTCACTTAAATTATTGTAAAAGAGTCTTAAAGGTCAGACAAAGCACCAGTAATGATGCAGTTTATTGTGAATCAGGTAGATTTCCACTTATACTTTAAAGGAAAAAGAAAATTTTGAAATACTGGGTGAAGTTAAAAAACAGTGATAATTGTATATTACAAGCATGTTATCAAGATATGGTTGAAAATGATGAATGGATTGTAAACATTAAGAAGGAATTCCAAAGGCTTGGTTTAGCTGACATGTATAGTAGTGATTGTATTGATAATAATACTCTGAACATTATATTTCAAAGAATGTATGACTTATAAACAAGAAATTATGGCAAGAATTTGTAATTCTCCTAAATATTTTCTATTTCAACATTTAGTGGATAATGTTGCATTACAGACTTATTTAAGAAAACCATTGCATTCTAAGTATAGAATACCTATCAGTCGTTTAAGGCTATCAGCTCATGATTTAAGAATAGAAAGGGGAAGGTATAGTAATATAGAAAGAAAAGATAGAAAATGAGAAATATGTATGTCAGGTGAGATAAAGGACGAATTTCATTTTGTATTAAAATGTCCTCGATATGAAGAACTTAGAATTAAATATATTAAGTGTTATTATTTTAAAAAACCATCAGTATTTAAATTAGTACAGCTACTGAGTTCTACAAATACTAAAGAACTATGTAACCTGGGCAAATATTTGTATTTTTCTCATCAATTAAGAAATGATGTTCTAAATAATAATTAAATGATATTGTTATGTAATTAATACATGTATATTGTATATAGCCTGTACAAATCTTATGTATGAATATTGTATACCTATGAGATGTAATGTCTCCAGTTCAAATAAAATACAAAAAAATAGACCAGGTGAGATAATCACTTAATTGCTATAGTCTATACCATACTAAGTAAGTAGGTGTAAGGTGAACTTATAGTGAAAATAAGAGAATAAATACAAAGTTTATGTATTTAATATAGTCACTTTGATGTTATAATTATCTGATGATCTTAAGACCTTCTTGGCTTGGGCATTATTTTCAAATTAATTTTTATTCTCTATTTTTTTGGTATCTTTAATTCATTTAGGATTTTATCATGATTGAAAAGTAAAAAGATTGAAAAGTATCCTTCTCTTAAGAAATTGGACTTACAAAAATAAATATTAATAATTTGTTTTTCAAAATATTCAATAAAATCAAATTTTTTCCATGAATATATATAGAATTTTAATAAAATGCTTATAAAATTGTATTACACTTCTTAAGAATACATTAAGCTAAATCAGGTATTCACAGGTAAATCCTAACCAGAAATCAGACTATAATTGCTATCAAAACACACTTCACACCAAACAGTGCGACATTTAACTCCGGACACGACATTTGTCCGGACTTTCGCCAACCACTTTTCCAAAGATACATAGAAAAAATTTATGTCATCCGGTGGGATTTTTTTAATCGCACAACATGGGCTAACCTTTACACCTGAATATCTTCCAGTTTAAAAGATATTACACCTGAAATCAAGAAATCCCATGGGATTATGGTGGGATTTTCTCTCCTAATCAATATCCCACCATTATTCTGTGGGAGAAAAATGAGTTCTGTGGGATTTTTTCTCCTATAGAATCAAAATTCCCATTTTTAACCTTACATGGGATTTTTTATCCCATAAGTTGTGAAATGGGACAATAAGTTCCATAATTGTCACAAATAGGATTAAAAGTTCTCTATCATAATGTTTTATAGAATATATTATCCTACAGGAGAATGGAAATTGTTTTTATCTCTTTAATTCTTTCCCTTTGAAAATTTCAGTCCTAACTCTTTCCATTTATCATTTTACATTTAGAAAGTGCATGCTTTTGCAGGCAAAATAATACCAAATTGGCAAAATTTCATTGAGAAATAAAAAAGTTATGACCATTCAAGAGAACACAGCAGTACGATTAACAGAGAAATTTGGCATGATGATGGATTCTCCCTATGAAAATTTCAGTCCTCTTACAATTTATCATTTTACATTTAGAAAGTACATGCTGTTGCGAGCAAAATAATACCAAGCTGGCAAAATTTCATTGAGAAATAAAAAAGTTGTGCTCATTCAAGAGAACACACCACTCCGACTGACAGAGTATTACATGATGATGGATTCTCCCTATGAAAATTTTAGTCCTCTTACAATTTATCATTTTACATTTAGAAAGTACATGCTATTGCAAGCAAAATAATACCAAACTGGCAAAATTTCATAGAGAAATAAAAAAAGTTATGCTCATTCAAGAGAACACACCACTCCAACTGACAGAGTTTAACATGATGATGGATTCTCCCTATGAAAATTTCAGTCCTCTTACAATTTATCATTTTACATTTAAAAAGTACATGCCATTGCGAGCAAAATAATACCAAACTGGCAAAATTTCATTGAGAAATAAAAAAGTTATGCTCATTCAAGAGAACACACCTGTCCGATTGACAGAGTTTAACATGATTATAGATTCTCCCTATGAAAATTTCACTCCTCTTACAATTTATCAATTTACATTTAAAAAGTACATGCCATTGCGAGCAAAATAATACCAAACTGGCAAAATTTCATAGAGAAATAAAAAAAGTTATGCTCATTCAAGAGAACACACCACTCCGACTGACAGGGTATTACATGATGATGGATTCTACCTATGAAAATTTCAGTCCTCTTACAATTCATCAATTTTCATTTAAAAAGTACATGCCATTGCGAGCAAAATAATACCAAACCGGCAAAATTTCATTGAGAAATAAAAAAGTTATGCTCATTCAAGAGAACACACCTGTCCGATTGACAGAGTTTAACATGATGATGGATTCTCCCTATGAAAATTTCAGTCCTCTTACAATTTATCAATTTACATTTAAAAAGAAATGCCATTGCGCGAGCAAAATGATACCAAACTGGCAAAATTTCATAGAAAAATAAAAAAAAGTTATGCTCATTCAAGAGAACACACCAGTCCGATTGTCAGAGTATAACATTATGATGGATTCTCCCTATGAAAATTTCAGTACTCTTTCAATTTATCATTTTACATTTAGAAAATACATGCTATTGCAAGCAAATTGATACCAAATTGGCAAAATTTCATTGAGAAATAAAAAAGTTATGCTCATTCAAGAGAACACACCAGACTTAAGTACAATTATCGGAGGAATATGACATAATGAAGGATTCTCCCTATGAAAATTTCAGTCCTCTTACAATCTATCATTTTACATTTAGAAAGTACATGCTATTGCAAGCAAAATAATACCAAATTGGCAAAATTTCATTGAGAAATAAAAAAGTTGTGCTCATTCAAGAGAACACACCAGTCCGATTGACAGAGTAATACATGATGATGAATTCTCCCTATGAAAATTTTAGCCCTCTTACAATTTATCATTTTACATTTAGAAAGTACATGCTATTGCAAGCAAAATAATACCAAACTGGCAAAATTTCATTGAGAAATAAAAAAGTTATTCTCATTCAAGAGAATACACCAGTACGATTGACAGAGTAATTTACATGATGATGGATTCTCCCTATGAAAATTTCAGTCCTCTTACAATTTTTCAATTTACATTTAAAAAGTACATGCCATTGCGAGCAAAATAATACCAAACTGGCAAAATTTCATTGAGAAATAAAAAAGTTATGCTCATTCAAGAGAACACACCTGTCCGATTGACAG